ATCCAGGGAGGCGGCGGCCCCACCCGCGGCCGAGGGTTAGCGCTCCGCGGGCGGAGGCCGGGACGAAGTTTCAGCCCCTGGAAGCTTCGCCCCTTCCCAGGATCGCCCCTGGGAGAGCGATTCCGTCTCAGCTGGCAGCTAGGGACCTCACGGGCCCCAGCGCAGTACCTGAGAGCCGGCCGGGGTGCCAGGCTCGCACAGTTACTCGGATTATAAATCCTTTAAATTGATCACCGCTCAACTCCGACCTTGCGTTTTGGGAGATTTTAAATGGATGAAACGGAGAGAACCATTTTCCAACTGGTGACTGTTTGGGGGGATTGTAACCCCGAGAATTGGGCTCTTTTTATTCCAATCTAATCATCTTGCTCCCCAAAGCAATGTACAAATGAAATATCATAGGATGTTGTGTTTTTTGCTCTCTTTTGTGCAAATGTTATGCCATGTTAAAATAAACTAAATGGAGAGAAACATACTATCATGGGTTAAAATTATAGGAATGTATACATTCTAAAATATTTTTATGAAAATGGGTTTAGAGAGATTTCCTTGCATTTTAGACCATTAACCAGAACTAAAGATGCTTTTCGCACATTAAATGGCATTTTGGAGGAAATCCATCTAAAATTCAAATGCCAGTAATGTCAGAGAAACAAAGCACATAAGCAAAATAAACCGAGGGTTTTTGTTGATGTGTCATAAAGTAAGCATAAGATTTCAAAAAACAGACCTGTCTGCAAACATTAAATTGTTGCTTCATTTATGGAATGTTTTATTTAACCTGAGCAAAACTACACTTAAATTATTTAGGTGTTTTGTCCATTAAATTAAACATATTTATCTCCAGGGGCTCCTACGGTGTGATGTTGATACTAGTTTAAAAGAAGGCATACACATCAAAATATACATAGCTGCAAGAAGCAATATTTTAATTTCCTTAAATAATTTCCCACTGCAAATTAATTTACTGGCTAATCACGCCAATTTAGCTTATTTAAAACATATGGTTTCTGCTGTTTATTTCCAAAGTTTTCCTTACAGATTATGTTACAGGGTAACAAAGTAAATAGAAAGGAAGAACTGCAAAGGGATTTAGAATTATTAGAATTATGCTTTGCCTAAATTTTGTTCTTGTGTCAGCCGTCAGAAGTTATTAAGAAAACGGATTTCTTGCCGGTCTGCCTTGATAATGTAGTTCTGTGTCTGCCAACTCCTTTGTAGAGCTACATACAGAACACGAGTTAGCCAGAACAGCACTGACTGGTGTATGCTATCCAACCAGGACACAAACTTTGGGGGTGAGAATAGATTCCCATCTGGATAAGCCCCACAACTCAACTTGTGAGATCATCCATAGAAACCAGTCCCAAAGACTGGCAGCAAAATTTGTCCCAGAAGACTTGTCTTGATGGGGCCAGTTTGAGAATCAGCCCGCAGGAACTGGAGGTCTCTGGAAAAATTATCTTTCGCAGTTATTTAGATCAAATCTGTCTATTAGGCCTAGTCATCGTCAAACCATAAAATGCAAGACCCAGAGCCTATTTTGACTGCAAAATAAAGCCCAAAGTCACAAGGAAGTGAAGGAGGGAGCTGAGGAACATGCCCGACCTTCTTTTCAGCCCTTCAGAGTGGACACCTATGAGCTCTTCAAGATTTGTTTTGTCTTTGCTTGTTCTAGCCTCAATTCTAAAGCGTGGGGTGGGGTGGGATGTGTAATCATTGACTGAATTTACCCCCTCCACTATCAGATCCTTTTCTTTTGTACATTTTATTCCCTTAAAAAATAAAAATATTCGCAGTTACCATCTGCAATACTCTGGCTACCGCCTAATAATGCAGCCAGTTCAGACATATAAGAAAAAAAGATTATCGAAATGATGATGACATGCAAATTTCCCCTGAAATTATCATAAGTAAACATTTGAAGTCTGGACTAATAAAATCCCATCTGTGTTACTTCATATCGAGTTAGTAGAAAGCTGTGATAATGAATTTTGTAATATCTCACGAACAGACATCTCAATCAGGGACTAATCCTGTGATTTTACTGCAGAATCACTAAATCTGGAGCCACCAAACTGCTAGTTCTGGGCCCATGGGCCCACGAGGATCTGCAGAGTCCTGCCTGGGCGCTCGCTGCTGGTGAGGGTCGGCCTGGTGGCCTGTGCCACCCTTAGACCCCCACCGCAGCAGGCAGCCTCTCCTCAGGCAGCCGCCTCGGCCAGAGGCCCCCGGAACTGGGCGGGCTCCAGGAGCCTGAGCAGCAGGGAGCCGGGCAGGGCTGGGCGCAGTGGGCCCAGCTCCTTGCAGACCCTGCTGGGCCTGCCTGGAGACTGTGGGAGCCCGAGATAAGGTGCTGGGCAACCCGGCCTTCATCCTCCCTAGTCCTTACAGCGAGCTGGCTCTGTGCCCCCAGGATGGAGCCCCCTGCCACTCACCTCTCCCGCTTTGCCTGTGGCAAGGAAGGGGGCTAGAGTTAAGCTTTTGGCTCGCTGAGCTGACGTTGGAAATTTGAAAAAGGTTTGGCTTGCCTGGGAGGGAAAGGCAGGGACGGGGGCGCAGGTCGCCGGCTCCTGGTCGTCGTGCGTAGTGGGCAGCGAGCCCTCCCGGAGCTCCTCCAGGTCTCCTCCACCTCGCTCGGGCTCACTCATCCACATGGGCTCTCCTCCGCGATCTTAAATCATACTTCAGGGTAAATACACAGCCAGAGGAGTATCTCGGGAAAAGTGTGACTAAATATGGAAAAGCGCTCCGGACCGGAGAGGCCCGAGGCCAGCAGCGCCTTCCCTTCCAGCAGGGGAGTGCTGCCTGTGCGGCCGGTGGCTCTGAGGTCTGCAGAGGAGCGAGCGCTCACTGAGGACGGACACTGCTGCGGTGGCCTCCCAAAGTGGAGAGTCGTCCCCACTGGCCCCCTAATTGTGTGCATGCTTAAGATTGCTCCCCAGCACAGACACCCCTGAGGGCAGCCCACGGCCTCTTCGCGGGCCTCTGGCCCTGCTGGGCCCTCCCGGTCCACATTCGGCGGTCCTGGCCGG